ACCGGACCCAGGCGCCGGGCACAGGGACAGCGGGCACACAGCCGGCCGGGCCTCGGCACAAAGCCGCTCGGCGAAAGCCACCAACGTGAAGGGGTGGCGGGGAGAACGAAGTCGGATTGCCCCCTCAGGTGACATCGCATGTGTCGCCCGTTGCATTAGTTTACGATCTTACTTTCCCCGATTTTCTAACCGCGCCACCGCTGCGCTCGCTGTCATCTCACCTCTCCAGTTCTTGTACGCCGGGATATAGTAGTATTTGTTCCCGAACTGGTCTGTGCCCACTAGCTCCTTCACTTCCTTGGACAGCGCTCTCCACAGGGTGCGGAACAGATCCTGAGACCAACCCATGCCGGCTGCCCGGATGCCAGCAAGACCCGCCAAGACAGTAACAAAAACGCCCCAGCGGCCGAGCGCGCCCACCAGCCGGGAGAACGCCGCTACCTCCGTGATCACGCCCTTCCAGTAACGGCGCTCACCATTGGTCAGACGGCTTCATGGCTCTCCCAATGGGAGACTCCGCTGTTAGAGCCCCGCCCCCGAGCTCTGTCATGGCTGCGTCCAGTGTTCCTACGGAGTAGAGGAGCGGGATGCTAGGGTGGTTGTCGGCCCGACAAGCTGGACTGGACGACCCTCTTCGCCTACGAAGAGCGGAGTCCACACGAAGGTATAGAGACTTTACTCCTTTCTGTAACAGTCCAGTTAAAATTTGAACCAATAGCTGTGCTACCCTTGCCTCACACTTTCCCGCCTCATTATCACGTTCCTCTCAACAAACTCGGATTTTTCTTTTGGAGCATGTACCAAAATTCCCTGTATGTATATGCATGTACCTAGGATGTATAAAAATTACAGCCTCCCAGGAGGAAAGCAGGTATTCAACATAAAGCGTACTGTTTGCTCCAAATAGTTCAGGCACAGTGAACCATTCTTATCCAGGAGTGATGGGAACTCTCCAGAAATCCCAGAAACCAGGCAAGGGCCAATCTTGCAAGCAGGCCTTTCTAAGGATAGCAGTTTCAGGCCTGCTATGTTAACTCTATTTTTGCACACCTCGTCTCCTTCCACGCACACCTCACCCGTTTCCCTGTCTCATTACCCTCCCACTTTCCCTTCATCTTAACCCCTCCTAGTTCCCAAACAATTCAGTGTTAAAGGTTGGGCAGAGGTAAGCTTCCAAATAGGGGTTAGGTTGACCCAGAGTGACATTTCAGAGCCTGAGCAGGTTGAGGAGGTAGCCTAAGTGTGGAGACTGACAAGCCCAAGGTGATGAGGGTGTTTGGGGGAGGCAGGAATCAAAGCCCAAGCTTGGTAAATAGCATCCTTGTGGGGGAAGGGGATAGTAGTGATGATGGAAGATTAGTTATATACTGGGAGATTGGTCAAATAAAAACATTAATGATAATGAAATCCACGTTTCTCTTTGATAGAACTCAAGGAAGGGATGATTACCTTAGCACATGTTTGTTTGATATTATTTTACTTGTTAAAAGAAACACATATTACTGTTATAATTTGAATAATCATCAAATGGAAAAATATTTTAAGAAGAAATGGAATTTCAATGGGAAAAACTATTTTCTGGTGGAATATTGAAGCTTAGAAATGTCAGGACAGCATGGTGGTATGGAGGGAAATATGTCAGAGTTGAGGTGCATTTCAGACAATTATTAGATGAGTGAAGTTAGCCAAATTACTTTAATATGTCTTACTTTAATATTCAGGAAAAGCTTTTAATAATATAAACAACCGTCTAGGAAATCTGCCACTTAGGATTATCACTTATTACAACTTATTATTACCACTAATTACAATGTCAGCAAATAGTAGGCTTTTAATATTAACTGTTACTGAGGAAGATCAGAGAAAGTAGTAAGTGGACCTAAGGCTAAACTGTCCTCCAGAAGACAAAGGGCCATGTATATCTTTAAATCAGCTTGCTACTGCTAAAATGATTTCCAAAATGATTTTGTCAGTACTGCTACTGTCAGTGTGTAAAAATATCAGTTTGATCCTTTTGTAGCCCTGCATTGATTAATTTTATGGGCTGTACATTTCATATAAATTAGCATCATAGTGATCAATAATGAATTTAAAAATCATTCTGGTTAAATTAATGCAAATTATTTTTAACATCCAACAAATTGAGACAGATTTTAATAGTTAACATTCACTAGGCACTTACTATGTGTAGTCACTGTAATGAATGAGCACTTTTTTATGTATTAACTCATTTAATCTTAATATACTGACCAGAATAATGATGGTTTACAGTTATGGAATACCAGAAATTTCATTCATCTTAATTTATGAGAGTACTTGTTAATCATTTTATTTATAAATATTTAATTGGCTTTATTTAAGTGTACCTAATTGTTAAGTTAAACATGCTCATTTTGTGTTTACACCTAAGGCATGAGAAATACTCCTGGAAATTTATTTAAAATACTGTAATTTAAACTTTTGTCCACTAGGTGTCCTCAGTTAATTTATCAATTTCAATTTTCATGAAAATTTGTGACTCAATATCTTAATGAAAACTTAATAAAATGCACTCTTTAAATTAAGTCTAAGGTAGTACTTCAGGAGAAATTCTTTACATGTAATTGTTAGTACTGTTGATACTTTAAAAATTTGCGTAAGGTCTTTAAAATCCATAAAAACTTTTTCTGTCTGGTAGAAAGACTTAAGCATTGCTTGTGATTTTTCTTTTAATCCTCCTTCAAGGACATGTTCTTATTGACTTTAGAGAGATAAGAGGGGGAGGGAGATCGAGAAAGAGAGGAACACGGATCTCGTATGTGCCGGGATCAAACCCACAACTTAGGTATGTGCCCTGACCGGAATGAACCCGCAACCTTTTTGGTGTAAAGGATGATGCTCCAACCATCTGAGCCACCCAGCCAGATCCTACTTGTGATTTTTATACTATATGTAATCTTAATAAGATAAGGACATTTTTTATGTTTGAATTCTTTTCTTATTGTTTAGTTTTATCTTTTTTTCCCCTTGTTTAATTTTTATATTTTTAAAGGGTTCTGGGACTGGAGTTAAACAAAGACAGAGACATTGAAAGGATCCACGTCAATGGAGTTAACAGCCTGGACATTGAACCTGTTGAAGGGAGATAGTAAGTTTATACGTTTTTCTTTGTAAGTGAGAAGCAGTAAAATCTTGCTTTCAGATTAATTATATAAAGGTTCATAAATAGTAAAAATTTTAAATTGTAGCATTTTTAATCTGGTATTACTAATCTCAAATAAATACAGAATTTCATGCCTTCAAAATGTTGCCAGATAGATTCCAAGCTACTTTACTATAAATATATTCATTGTTAACTCAGAAAGCTTTTAAGTGCTGGGGTGTGTAACTAGTTGCTACTCTCAAAGAGACTAATGGGGAAAAAATATTAAAAAGCAAAAGTATATTTTAAAGCATTAAGTTTGAAGCAAACCAGACTTGTATTTGAGTTCCTCCTGGTTTTACCACTTACCAGCTATGTCACCATGAGCAATTTATCTATCTTTTCTAATTCTTAGTTGCCTTAGCTATACAATGGGAACAATAATACCAACAAGTTCATTGTGAAGATTCATTGAGATTATATGTATAATATGAGTAGCATAGGGCCTGGCATATCATTAGTGGTTGCTACTACTCCTGTTAATCAAAAGCATTATTATCACCTATACTTTTACACCATTCAGTCCATTTCTCACACAACAGCTAAAGTGCTTGGAAAAATGCAAATTGGAACATGTCATCACCCCACTTAAAACTTATCTTTACCCCCACATGACTTTACAGGAAAGTTCAAAACCCTTCATGTAGACTATTAATTAAAACAAATGTACAAGTAACTAAAAAAAAAGTTTATCGTGTTATGTTTACCATTTGCCCCACAATTTTTCTATTATAATGAAGTATTATGACTATTATTACTAACATTAAAATAAGCCAAGAAAGGTTTGATAGAATTCTACTTTTTATTTCTAGCTTCTGTCATGGTCTCACCTGGTAGTATATGAGAAACATGAAGACTGAACAAGTCCTCACTTTAACACATGGTTAAATCTAAAAGACGACCAGCGATAACTCTTTTCCTTTTCCTGACCTTTTTCAGGCTTAACCTAACACCTCCCATTCAAGGACAGCTGTGGGGCATTTGCAGATATGAACAGCTAATTTCTTTTGGTCCTGGATTGAGGTAGAAAGAATATTTAGTACAGATTCTTCAGCCATCCATTTGGGATAATGATCAGTTCAATCTGTGAAATACATGAAGCCAGTAGGCTGCCAGTTGGCAGAGTCATTGAGAAATGTGGGAAATTATAGATTATATGTGCATTAAATATGTGTGAGAAATATAAGCTGAGGAGTCTTTTTGCAGAGCATATAGAGAAAGTCAGGATTCTCGCTACAATGGTTTCCCCCTTTATTGCATGGTAAAAGTCTACAACTATTTATTTCATTGTTTGCTAAGACTTGTATTTTGCATCAAACCCTTTTGGCAGCAAAGAGAGAAATAAATAGTAAATTGTATATTAATGGAAAATTTAATACTAATGTTCTTTTTCTTAAAATCAATGCACATGAAACTTGCTCTAAATACTCATTAGTATTTACCACCCACCATGAGAGCTGTAGTGAATTCACTGGAAACTGGAATGGAAATCAGTATACACAAATCTGGTAAAGAAGCCTTTATTTCCAAAGTTAGAAGTTATTTTAAAATAACTCCTAATGTTATGAAAATAACATTTTAATAGGTGCAACTGCGTAGTGTACATTTGCATACCATTCTGTAAACCTTGACTTTTCTTTTATACCTTCTCAATTCTTCTAATTAATTTTATTTATCTTTAGTACCAGGCTGTCTTATTCATATAAAAACATGCCGTGTTTTCTCTATTACAGAATAACAGTCTCACAGCTTATGTCAGTGCCATCATACAGTCAATTAATTCTGATAATGATTCAGTTTTTTCATCCAAGTAATGGAATCAGTGAAAAGCTTTTGGAAGTCATTCTAGCAAAGATAGAACATTTGGCATTATTGTAAATACCATTTAAATTAAGTTTAAGAGTTCAACTTTGAAAACATTTGTTTGTTTTTGTTTTGATAATACGTGTAGTTCTGTGGTAAAAAAATACATTTCACAAAGTTCAAATATAAAGCATAAATGTTTTTGAAATTGATTTTGGTACACATCTGTCCAAACAAGGTACAACATTTTATGCACCAAAATAAAAGTTGTATTTGTTAAAATTTACAAATATTTCTCTATATACCTAATTAGAGTAACAACTACAAGTGTAATGAAGTTAATGAGTATAAAAAACAAACCTTCAGTATGGTATCATTTGCTGTCTTTCTTATTGTCTATCAGTTGGACTTTAGAACTCTCTGAGCAAAGAACTTTGAAGAACTACTTTTAAATTAACCTAATTGTTCTACAAATTGGTATTAATTTTTTCTTAAAGCAAGTATGTAAATCAGTGCTACTTAGACATGTTGCTATTTCATGTACCCTGTAACTGGTTCAACACAAGACAAGGAGCTTATACCAGACTGTAAATCTACTATGCCACTAAGCACACAGATTAGATGAGCTGAGATTCTTTTTTTGTAGCAAGACTTTCTCAGTGAAGAAAGAAGTGTGTGCATTTCTGGCCACAAGCTCCTTATCTTGTCATGGATAAGTACATTAAATAGCAAAGAAACTAAAGATGGCAAGATCAAAACCAATGTATAACACTTATAGTAAGTTTAAGTGATGAAGCATCCTCACAAACCACAAAGTGTGGGTGAGTAGGAATAAACTGACACATGTCACTAACTGCAAGATCTGTGTGGTATTAGCATCTATACCAGGGAAGGCAATTCAAAGCAATAGGGCATCAGATAGACCTGATAACTCTAAAATAACCAACAGTTAGTTGAAAGCTCAGCAAGCCAATTTGACTACAGCAGCTGAAACTGGGAGAGGATGGCATATTCTGATTGTTCAAGGGGTTCACAGTAAAACCTGTGGGGCTAGAGTGTCTGGGACTTATAATCTCTCCAGTTAATCAACTAAAGGTCCCCTGTAGGACAGACCCTGAGGGAAACTTCTTGGAATAGTATCCAAATTAAGTAATACAAGGACACTAGAATAAAGGAAAAAGATGGCCCAGATGAATGTTGGGGAGATGAACAGAACCAGGAAATCTCTGAAAGGAAGCTGCCATATTTTGAACATCTTACAAAAAAGAGGAAAACGTTCTAGAGATATAAAATGTAAATATTCTAAACCAAGTCTTCCTTCTAAAAGCTTAAGAAAATTAGTTTTATGTAAAAATTAGCAAAAGAATAGAATTAAAGTCAAATAACATACAATATTACTGTAAGAACAAAGAGAATAAATAATGCACCTACAGACCATGCAGTTGTGCCAGAAAGATATGCCAACAAAGTAGGTGAGAACTCTAACCTAATATTTCAAAACTAGCTAAAAGTCATTTTAAAAAGATACAGTATATGAAAGAAAAACATAAGTTGTAATTAGAAAAACTCAGAAATGAGATGATCAGACTTAAAAAATAAGAAATGAAAGAAAAATGTTTCAGAAATGAAGACTAAAGCAAGGGAACACAAGCACATAAATACAAAATATAATGCCTTAAGTGAAGTTGGAAAGAAGGAAAAATGTAAAATAAAAAAGAAATGGAGGCCAGGGGGGGTGTGTGTGGAGGGGGTCAATGGGGAAAAAGAGGGGCACATCTGTAATACTTTCAATAATAAAGATAATTTTTTAAAAAATGGAAAAGAAAAGGATTTAAGAGATAGAGACATATATAGATGCCAGGCAAAGGAGCTCCACCGTATACAAAAGAACCCCAGAGAAGGAGCCAAAGGAAAAGAACAGAGTGAATATTAACACTATGATCCAAGGAAACTTTCCTAGAATAAATAAGATCTGAAATTACATGTAAGGGAAAGAAAATCATATTGTAAGGAGACTTTTACGTTTTTGGGGCTTTATGCCAAGAAATGAAGTTTCTTATCTAAGATGGTCAAAGAAATAAAATGTGAGTCAAAGGTTTTATATCCAGTCAAATTTTCAAGTACAAAAGGACAAATTGTCAATAACATACAGGAATTCAGGGATTACTGTTCTGAGGAGCCCTTTCTTAGTAATCTACCAGAGAATAAAATCAGAGAACCAGAATGAATAGACAGCAACATGAGGACTGATAGTGAGCAATAATAGCAAATAGCAGTACTCTATATAGATATGTAAATTCATAGATCTATCTCTCTTCCCTACTAGATTTTAAACTCTGGGAAGACAGGAACCATGCCTATCTTGTTCACAGTTGTATTAGAGACAGTGCCTAGCATGTTGCAGGTCTCTAAAGTTGAATGAATTGAGTAAAAATGTTCATAATGGAAGAAATCTAACATTTATTGATCCCCATTTTTCCCCCAGACAATATAAAAGGCACTTTGCATATTACTTTTATATTTACATCAGCTTTATGGTTTAGATGAAACTGTCACTCTTTTCTAAAATGTTTAAAGACTGAAACAGGTGAAGAAACTTGTCTAGGATTAGATAGCTAGCTAACATCAGTAATAATACTTGGTCTACCTGATTTCATTTCTATTTAGCACAGTTATAATTAGGACATTTAAACTTATTTTGTAATATTTTAAAGTTAACAAGTGTAAAAAAACAAACCTTCAGTATGGCATCACTTGCTGTCTTATTGCCTATCATCAGTTGTACTTTAGAACTCTTTGAGCAAAGAACTTTGAAGAACTACTTTTACTTCCTAGTAAGAAATATCTTTTGCCATAGTGTTTCTACTGTCCTTTGTGGTATTATGAAGATAAATTTTAAATGATCACATATTGAATCTATTCATATTCATTCTACAAATATTAGATTAAGAAAATTTAGTTTATTGAAGTCTATATTAATTTTTACTTGGTATATGTGGGCGTAATACATGTAGGTGTTTAAAGGTCAATAATTTTCAGAAATATGTAATCAAATAAATGAACTACATAAAATGATAAATTAATGTTAACTTTTTTATTATTAGCATGTTATCAGGTGGTTCAGATGGTGTGATTGTACTTTATGATCTTGAGAACTCCAGCAGACAACCTTGTTACACATGTAAAGCAGTGTGTTCTGTTGACAGGTGTGTATTAAAAATGTAATTCATTATTTTATAAAGAGTTGAGTGTTTTTTGCATCAAATGCAAACTATGAAAATAGCAGTCATATGAATGAATGTCTCAAGCAACTTGTTCACATGACATATTTACGTGGATATCCCTTGACATTTTCTTAAAAAATAATAACAAATTCAGGGGTAGCTGTTTTTAATATGACTTTCCCAAAACAATTTCGGCATTGGTTTTCAAAAGGATTTTATTTAAAAACTTTTGATTATGTGCTCTTTGTTCTATACTTACATAGCACACCTCAGTGACCTATTAGTTTTTAGTACCACTTAGAGTAAGATTCATATATGAGTCTCTCAGTTAATTACAAACACAAATTAGATTTTTCAGTTGATATTAATAGAATAAGAAGATTAATGGCTAGAAGCAATGAATATACTGACAATCCCTCACTGAACAGACACATCCACACACAGCCCTCTTACCTCTCTACTTATTTAAAGCTTCCTAACTTAAAAACATACCTCTCTTTGTCTTGAATTTTCTAACTCTACTGTCTTTCCAGTCTTGTGAGAATTATTTCTAATTCTTTAATAAAATGTTTTGTGACTTTGTTGTAATTTGTTCATAATGGTCATTTACTATTTGTCACCTCTGCCTGATCTGATGTTGAGCAGGCCTTTGAATTCACAGAATAAATAGGTGTTGAGAAAATGTTTTAAGAGGAAAAAGTCATGAGCATTAATATCAACAACTACTCTATTAAAGCTGTTCCCAAGGTGTTAGAATAGGTGTGTGAGTCCATGGAATGTTTGTGAGGAGATTTGTGATTGCTTCTTGGCTCTGGTGCTTCACTTTGGAAGTATAGATTCAGGAAATATTTCTCTGAGCCTCAGATTATTCTTACAAGGTTTCTGTGAGAATTAAATGAAATATTACCTTTCAAAAAAGCATATTGGAAACTGTAAAGCCACTGTGTGAATGGAAAGTAATATAATTATAGGGAAACAGTACAAAGCGAGGTGCCATCTCCAATACTCTGAAATGTGGTTTCTAAGAGGCTTATACCATTTTATACTCTTCACTACTACCAAAAAAAAAAATTTAAATTCTTAAGTGTAGAACAGTCATGTTCATTAAATTCATTTTTCTCTTATTTTATCTTAGATAACATTTAACATTGTTTAATTTGCTATATAGCAAAATAATATTTTCATATATACCACATGCTGTATAATGTTATTCCATGAAGGATTATGATCTGCTTTTCTAGTGTGTAAAGGCAAGTAAATGCTTAGCGCTTCAGTCTTTTGCTTTACTATGATTCACTGTCTTTAAAAGTATGACTTTGACTGTAAATGGGCATATAGTGAGCATCTTTACAGAATGAGTTTAAGTAGCGTATTTACATCCAAAGACTTTATAGACTAACTTTAAAAAATAGCTTCAGTAAAAATTGTTATTGAGTTAATGTGGCTTAGACTGTTTCCTAATATTTATTTTGGCTTTACTTAATATATTTGTTCTTGAACACCAGAAGGACTCCTTTCCTCTAACAAAATTCTTATTAAATGTCCATGAGAATAACAGATCATACATAGTAAGGGAATAATACCATATTATGTCCTATTTTAAATATAAAATATATATTTTCAGTTTAAAAATATAAGTGAGCTACATGTGACCAACACAGACTCTAAGCTCCACAGCTATGAGTAATTGCTAGCTATCCCTGGGGTTTGCATTACTGACTAGAGTTTTAGAGTCCCAGGCAGGATTGATGAAGCCCAGGACACATGTCCATGCCCTTACTGCCAAAGAGAAGAGAAAAAATGTCTAGAGCCTCTTGCTTTCTGTAATAAGAGGCAGGGTCCTGCCTTTCAATAAAACAAGGGGGATTTCCCTCAAACAGGAGGAGTTTGCATACTCAGCAGCCAAGAAAGGGGCAAATGTCCACTACAATCCACCCATTTGGCTGTTTAGCATCCAGACACACCTTTCTTCTCACACTTACCCTTTTTTCTGGGGAGGGGAAAAAATTTCAGCCTAACCTAATGCAGGTATTCACTATATGATCAAAGTGTATCATCCCCTTCCCCAGAGGGTGATGACCCTAAGTGTATTTAGTTACCATATCCAGCTCCAGTTCAAGATAATATCTATTTTCCCACTAGTTTTACATGATCTTATATCAATAATATGCAACCTCTGGACTCAGTTGGATAATTAACCTATTTAAACTAATGGAGGTAAGAGAAAGGAAAGAAAAGGGAAATTAAATTAAAGCATATATATGTATATCTATATATGACATAGAAACGGAGAAAATGTGGGTAGGCACTACCGTCCTTTTATTTTCGCAGCTGTCTCAAGGCCAGAACTTGCGCTTAAGACCTCCCTTCTTCATGTGCTCATTCTTCAGGTAGCAGCCCAGTGTTCAAAATCCTTAACCCTGTATTGTGATCCAGACTTTGACCTTAAGGAATTGGAACTCATGAGGGTCCTATCTTCACATATTTGTAGTACTCTTCTGTTAACTTTTATCTTATATAAAATTTCTAACATATACAAAAGTAGAGAGAAGTATAATGAGCTATGTACACATCACTCAGCTTAACAACTATCAATCATAACTAATCTTGTTTCATCTCTACCCATATACCCACTCAGAGGGTTGTTTTGAAGCAAATCCAGAATCATATCATTTTATTCATAATTATTTATGGCTCTAGAAGATAAGGACTTTATAAAACATAACCACAGTATCTCACATACACAATAATTTTTTATATTAAATATTCATTAGGTGTTTAAATGCCCCTCCATTATCTTGTGTTTCTTAACAGCCAGTTTGTTTGAATTAAGATTCAGTAAAGTGACACACTCTGTTGAGCACTGGTTCAGAGCACATACTGCATCCTTTAGGACTGCACATCACTCTCACAAAGTGGTGTCTTGTAGCTGATGTCATAACTGAGTCATCAACAGACCATGCTTCTATGGGTGATGGGTTACATAAGAATGGTGAATCCCACGGTCATTGCAGTTGCTTTTTTTTTTTTTTTTTTTTCCTTAAG